AAAAACCTACCTTACCTAGAAAGAAGAACATGACTTAGTCCCACCCAGGCCCCTTTTTCTGCCACACCGCCTCCAAGAAAATATTTTACGACAGCTACTCCCTCCTCATTTGTGTGCTTCGGAACATTCCGAACCAATGAAAGTGCAAAATATGGATAGATTCAAGTTCATGGGTCCCACTGTACACTGCAGAACCAACATTTAGTCTTCGTAACACATTTTTCAGCAACACTTCTTGCTCCAATACCTACGTCTCTCCACCTAGTGTTACAGCCTCCTACCGCCTATTTTAGTGGTATCCATGTATTAGCCTTGTGTGATAGTCATATGACTAACAAATATGCAAAAAAATGAAGATATCCAATAGACAATTTATTGTAATATTGACATAAAAACATTACAAATATAAGAAAAATAAATAGCCACGCTATAAAATGAGACGTAGGTGCGCGTTGAACTCTTGGTGATGAACACAAGCGTTGAAAGGATTTAGTGAGAGGGCGGAGGGGAGGGTGGGACTTGCTTAAATTCATAATCAAACACTTTTGATTCATCTATCAAGCACGAGCGTGGCGAAATCACTGATTTACAACAGGTAAAGTATCTACAGAGAAGAACAAATGAACGAGAGGAATCAATGGATAAATCAATAATAAATAAGCGAACTCCTCTTCTGGGTGGGGGTCGTGGGATGCAAAGCATTACGAAAAAGAAAAAACACATTTAAACGCATATTTCTAGCCGAGGGAGAGGGGAGACTGGGTCAGACATGGGCGGGGCTAAGATCTGCTCTTAATGGGAAGTTGGCGCCTGAAAACACATAAACACACTACAATCTTAAAATATAACTGGGTAACTAGCTGAGGTTATGTCAGATGATATGGAATATCACGACAACGCTATGGGATAAAACGCATGGCAGGATCTGCTCTTGTTGGGGCTGGGACAACTGACACTAATATGGCTCATCTAATCTGGATACGTACTCTGCATCTCTATCAAATACTATGATTAGTAGAGAAAAATGATGAGTAAACGAGAGAAAGGGAACACCTTTGGCCAGTAATTGAGAGGAGAAGAGCGGAATAAAAAAACACAGACCTATGCTGCTTTGTTGCTGCTGATAACTGCTATATACAAAGAGAAAACAATGTCTTAACAGCACTTATAGATTTTGTCAAAACATAGCCGTTATGTCACGACTATGTCATGACCATGATAGAGGAACGCACACACAAACAAACACAAACAACAGAGAGGAGAGTTCTTAATTCTACACAACAAAGCACCATACATAGCAAGCACGACGCGTGTGAGTAATCTCAATTTCACTTTGATAGCAACACACTATGAAAAGATTAATCAACCAATAGCAAATAGCAATATCAATCAATCAATCAATATGAGGATTTTTGGGGAAATACTCGTTTCACGTAGAGAGGGACACATATAGCCCTATTGCACGACGCCTTGACGGGTAGAGAAGAGGGTAGGTGTAGAGGGCAGGGTAGGGAGATTCAGAACGGATTCGAGTCTCCGCCACCCGCCACCTGGTGTGGGACCAACTCGAACGAGACCCGCGTGGGTTGTGAGACCAATGTTCGGACGGGAAGGTGAGCGATCATCTCGGAGAGGAACGCTCCTGATGCATCTTCTCTACACCGCAATACAAACGACTGCATTACGTGCTTCTCCTCGCAGGACCCGCTGTCTGGTTTACCGAAACCTTCAGGGAGAGATTCGCCAGATGGTGACATCGATCCGCTCTTAAACATACTTTCTCATCCTATGTTTGTGAGATGGGTAAATCTCTCATACCATAATCATTTATCGTTATATAATTTTCCCATCATAAAGTCTTCAAGTTTAAACACATGACAGTTTCACTAACCGTATGACTATTCCTTTCATTCGCAGCCTTATCCGTTTCCACATCATCCCCATCTTTCTTCTCCTTTCTGACCGTCAGATTCAGGCCATTATGTGCAACTGCAGAATGAGCCTCTAGAGTTGCTTCATCCGGGCATTTCACATCACATAGTGAGCACTTTACGCTGTCTGGTTCCAACTAAAAAACCACTCAATGCATTTCATTAGTTGACATAATCGTTATTTACAGTAATACCCTACCTGGTTGGCTACCATCATTTTCAGCGCTGCTTCAGTAGTGGCGCGTAGTGCCGCATCTGTGGACAGCTCAGCATTAGCCTCTCTCGTCGCTTCATTCATCCGCTCGTGACGTTCCACATGCATCTCCAAATTTCTAGGATCACGGGTGGTGTACTGACATCGCATGCATCGCAAGATGGATGCGTTTGAGTCCGTGGATGTTTCTGAAATTACGCAAAATTGCGCTACATTTCCATAGAGAGCTCTACGGACAACTAACTCTTCGCATCCATTTGCTGTGTTTGCGTCTGCTGCAGCAATTCAACCGTGTGCTGATTGATCTGATGCAAATGCAGCTCCATCTGATCTTTGAATGTCGAGGGGCAGAATTTGCACTCGAGCGACGGAGACGTAGGAGCTTGCGATACGGACATGCCACCGCCTCCTGTATGCTCGTTCTGGATGTGCGCAGTTAGGCTTGCAGCTGGAACACGTCGTTCGCACAGTGGGCACTTTTCAAGCTTCTCGTCCGTGATTGCACCACTTCCAATCGAAGGCATGGTGACGGTAGGTTCTAGAACTATTTCGGTATAGTGCAAGGCTCTTAGGAAAGGTCCAAAGTCTTCATGTAGGATTTCTAGAAGTATCATTTTTTCAAAACGATGTTCACAACTTCTACCATAATTCATTAGACTGACATCAGTTATAAAATTTCATTCTGTATTCAAAGAATTTGCACCGCACTCCTAAAGACATAAATTGTATATTAACAGGAGGGCGCGCATCATCCTCCCATCAAAGGCTTGCCGCCTTTCGGTTCTGCACGTAGCGCCCCGCCCAC